CATACTTGCACTCATTTTAACATTGACTTATTAACTGAGTTAAAATAACACCTATTTCAGTTCGTACAGGAAAACAATATTAGAGTATAGAATATAATTAGAATCACTTCTGGAATTGTATACATATGGATAAAATATGTATTTATGCAGGGAGATCACAATCCCTATATTTATGTGATATATGTAAAACAGTAGTTGGGCATTTACTTATTGATTATAGATATATATGTACATGAACTTACATATATTTTTAGTATGGTTTTGATGCTACTGTTGGCATTATTTACCCTGGCTTTATATATAGTACACTTAATAGAAAGTGTCACTTCTCCACATAATCCTTATAATATGATGTGACACATCAGAGGATGCTGATTAAGAGATGCAATATTCTCTAATGTGGAACTATGGCTATCAACAGCAAGAAGAAATTTTATTAGTGATATGTATGTATTAATTTAAGCTATATTGTTATTGATAAGAAAACTATGAATGCTAAATATCTTTTGGATTTACTGCCATAATTAGTAGTTTACATATAACCATGTATTTAAGAGTATGAGTAGATATTTCAGTCTTGTGTACAATTGTACACTCATGGTAGGCTAAGACATTGTGAAGGTGACAAGTATTTGCTGGTGAAGGAATGAATAAATGAAAGAATGACTAGTATGCTGACTTTCGCAATCAATCTTTGTTACTGGAATTTTTAAATAAATTAAAATAGTTATAAAATTTGTATTATGATTTATGATTAGTTATCACTGTGCAAATCATTCAATGTTGCCCATTTCTAATATCTTAATATTTGCTACAAATTACACATTTTTGTCACATGTTCTATGTATCCACTGGGATAGTGGAAATTAATAGGAAATTTCAGAACATTGCTTAAATTTGATTGGGGAAAGAATATAATCATGTTTACTTTATTTACGCTGATGAAAATCCCTCAGTTGTAAAGGAATAAATTTATACTACAGTTGCATGTAAAAATCCATGAATTAAAGGAAATACAAGAATGCTCAGTGGGCATTTTACCTTAGATAATGAGTATCTTGATGTTAGCATATCTTTAATAATAATACAATTGCTTTATTATTATATCATTATCTTCCTACAGACAGTATTTTATAATGTTTCAGTATTGTTGGTCAGTTAGCTGTGCCAATTTATGAACCCAAAATAATTCAATCCATTGGATTCAAACATAGTGACTTTATGGCTTTTCTTATGCTCAGTGAGAGATTGCATTTAACTGGAGGTCTCATTTTGGGCCTGCAGACCATAGAGCCATTGATGACTAAATCAATTCTTGAGTTTTTGTGTTGAAGTTTAAAATCTCTTCAGTCCCATCAAAGTAATTTCAAATAATTATAGAATCTCTATAATTTATTTTAAGTTTTTAATTTTATATTTATTGTTATATGCACATTTAATCAGAGGTATACCTTCTTAACGATTTTTAAGTGCACAGTATAGTATTGTAGACTGTAGATACAATGTTGTGCTGCAGATCTCTAGAACTTATTCATCTTATATAACTGAAACTTTATTCCATTTGAACAGCGGCTCTCTATTCCCCCTCCCTCCAACCCCCGGCAACCACCATTTTACTCTTTATTTCCATGAGTTTTACATTTTACATTGCTAATATAAGTAATTTAAAGCATTTACATAAAGCATTTAGATTACTTATACAAGCATTGATCCTTCTGTGGTTCGCTTATTACAGTTAACATGTCTTCTAGGTTCATAGGTGGGATTTCCTTATTCATAAAGGCCAAATAATATTCCATTTTTTGTGTGTGTGTGTCACCTTTTCTTTATTCATTCATTCCTTAATGGACATATAGGTTGTTTCCATATCTTGGCTATTGTGAATAATGCTGCAGTAAACATGGGAATGCAGATATTTCTTTGAGATCCTGATTTCAGTTTTTTTGGATATGTACCCAGAATTGATTCCTGGGTCATATGGTACCGCTATCTTTCATTATTTGAGGAATTGTCATACTTTTTCCTAAAGAGGCTATACCATTTTATATTCATACCAAAAATGTACACAGATTTCAATTTCTCCGCATCCTCACTAACACATCTTTTTTAAACTAATAGCCATCCTAACAGATGTGAGGTGATATTGTAATTTTGATTTGCATTTTCCTCATGATTAGTGATGTTGAACATATTTTCCTATACCTAATGGCCATTTGTATATCTTCTTTGGAGAAATAACCATTCAAGTTTTAATCAAGTGATGTAATTGTTCATTTTTTAATCAAGTTATGGGATATTAAAGTTTTGTGAGCATTAGAAACATATATGGAATAAAAGCCTATTAGGACAAATGGCATTTTGTAGTCATTATGAAAGCAGGAAAATTTTAATATACGAAGCCTTTAATACTAGTTAGGTAAATTTTATGTATCATTGCCTCTCTTCAAATTCTCTACCAAGCCTGTGGTTGTGATTGCTAAGGATGCTTTTAGAGACAAGAAAGCAAAGGACAGTAACAGCCACTGGGCAATATCTACTGATCACGAACCATTATTGTTTGTGAAAGTCTGTCTAATTAAGATACTATTTTCAACTAGCTTTTCTCTAGTAATTTTCAGAGCAGTAGCACCCACTCATGGAATTCTTACCATTTCTTGAACCCAGGATGAAGCCAAATTGCATACATAATACAAGAGAAATATAGTAGGATTCAAAAAACAAAACTGTGAACTCTAGATATTTGAGACATCTAATCTTAATTTTAAATAACTTGTTCATTTAAAGAGGAGAGAGGTTGAAGTCTATTTTAATGAAAAATGCAAAAATGAGGCATACAAAATGAGCATTATGTCTGTCTAGGATAATCAGGAGGCTGTTAGTTTGCAGGATAATCTTAATGTATCCTTCATGCTACAGTATTTTTATCCTATATATACTTGCTTAATCAGTCTCCTGTAACGGGGTTTAAAACATATCGAGAAATTAGGACAGTTGTCTTGGCTATTACTTTGGCTTAAAACTAATGAATGATTTTAGAAGTAATTTCAGTACGATTCTGATAATTTTTTTATTGACAATGGGAATGACTCTTGGACTGTCATTTCTTTATATAGTTGTCTTAAACTGGGGGTGGCTTGAAAATTGAATCAATTAAAATGCTGATGATTGCATAGGAAAGACTGTGCTCTTAGAAAGATCATTTGAGGAACATATGTGATGATTTTAAAATAAATACATTAAAAGTAATTTTTCTTGCCCTGACTGGTTTGGCTCAGTGGCTAGAGCGTCGGGCTGTGGACTGAAGGGTCCCGGGTCCGATTCTGGTCGAAGGCATGTACCTTGGTAGCCGGTTTGATCCCCAGGAGGGGGCGTGCAGGAGGCAGCTGATCAATGTTTCTCTCTCATTGGTGTTTCTAACTCTCTATCCCTCTCGCTTCCTCTCTGTAAAAAAATCAATAAAAATGTTTTTTTAAAAAGTCATTTTTCTTCCAGCACTAGCAATAACTATTGTGTTGAGTAAAGATGGCAAATTACTTGTCATCTCTAAAAAAGATTATGATTTTTAAGTGTAATTACTATTTAGTCTCCTTAGACTCTGAGTCATTTTAGGTTGGTGATACTAGTAGTTTAGAACTGTTAGGACTTTAGTTATTCAGATAGTTTATTTTATAGTAAGTTATTTGATTTTCATGTATTTTGCACCATGAAAACAAAGTTGGTCTTAATGGACCTGTAGTATTTTGATACCTTCTGTAATATGTCTAGAAAGTTTTCCAGATGCTAACATCTGTGAACACATAGCTAAGCAAAATGTACTGTGGTTGTGTTGATTTTTCCTCTAATGAAAATCAGTAACTTTTTTGTGATCTCTGTACTAAAGTCAGATAACTTAAAATACTAAAGATAATTATTGCCTCAAAATTTAAAGTAATAAAGAGCAAGATTATGACTATATAATTGAGTGATGAAATTTAGGAACATGAGTTTGGGGGCAAGAGTGTATCACTTCACTTGATCGAACAAAAATGTTGGCTTTACTTTACTCACATTTTTTATGGCCCCATTACCTAAAAACTTATTTTTATGTTAGAAGTAAACTGGTAACACATGAATGAATACAATGGTAGTTGTTAAGTTTCTGTATTGGACGGTTTAGGGATTTGCCTGCCATAAAGCTTCATTTTCATAGCAGCCAGCCAGCCAGGTTACTTTTCACTTTGGTTTTTGGGATGGCTTATTTGGGGGAGAGCTGATGGAGGTAATTGGGAGCTAAAGCCACTCCTTGGAACTGCCACTCTACACAGTTTCAGGTCATTTAAATTCTTTATGAACTATAGGATTACCTTTTGAATACAGCATAAATATATCTTCTGTTCTAAGAAAGCAAACAGTACTAAAACAATGGTGAGGGAGACAGAGCTAACTTACTCAAAAGACCTGTCTCTGAGGTTTGTTAATTATGTTTAAGCAAATGGGTGCTACTGTTGTGCAAGTTGCAAATGGTTCATATCTATTCTTCAGAGCAGTCTCAGTAGGAATTTTTATACGGCAACCTGGTTAGCAGTTAAGTTACCTTAGGTACTTCAAAGCAATTTCACTGAATTAAAGGGATGCCTAAATTTTAGCATGTTAGGATAAATGCATGTCTTTTTCCTCAATTAGTCCAAATTAGGGAGATTTTACTATATATTTAATTCCAGTGCTGCTTCTAGGTACCTGGTAAAGGAGTAATTAATGTTGCACATTAGTTAAGAAGCAGCAATTGATTTTTGGTTCTATTTGGCTTATCTTTTCTGCTTAAGTGCTGATATTTAATTTGTTGGGAAACCTCTAAACAAGTCTATATTTTTATGTTTATCCTCTTCCTTGAACTAATGAAATAAACACATTTATTGATTTTCACATGCACTTTATTAATGTAGTTAATATGCCTTACTAATGTTATTCTGTGCATTTGGATTAGTGCCATTATTGTTTATGAATCAACATTTTTCTTTCAGTTCAAAAGAATGCAGAAACTTTGGAGGAGAAGCCCCAGCCTACCAAGAAGAAGGTGAAAGAGCTGAGAGTTTTGGATCCCAAAACGGCCCAGAATCTGTGTATGTGCTATTTCGTGTATAGGATGGTGGTGAGAGGGTGGTTATTGAATGGATTTAAACAAAGTTGTAACTTCTTTGAACAGGCATGTTTAGCATCTACCAGAAACACAATTCTGTGTAAACATGATTTGGTTTTCCTTTTTGTGGTTCAGCCAGAATAGGAGGCCATCATAATTTAGTCTTCCTCAGGTTTGATGAAATGTATGAATAATAAAGTTTTGGAAAGTGCTGATAATTCGACCTTGTCAGAGGACCAGTGAGACCTATGGCAGAGCTCTACAGAGTTTTGTTTTCCTTCTGCCTCGGCTTGGCAGTGACAGGTTTAGCGTATTCACTAGTCCCATTGGGCAAATCCTTTTCTGATCCTCCTTTACGTTTGAAGTAATCGTGATGGGAGCTAGATAAATGGTTAACCACTGCACTTTAAAACTGGTTACTAAACCTTCAAACCTTTAACAAACCAGTCAGCCCTTAAGTATACTTTCATTAAAGCAGCTGGACAGTTAAAGCCGTCTTCATTTAAGTAGGCCTTATGTTTTACTTTGACAAATTTCCCCCTCTGTATTGAATTTAGCATTCTTTGTCACCACAGTAGACTGTGTTTATAGTCTGAGAATACTAAAACACTCTGCATGAGAAATTTCAACACATCAAGCATTTCTAATTGCGCACAGAAATGCCATAGGAGTTTCTTTTGTTAAAGAACGTGCTATAGGGAATCTGATTGAAATAAACAGCTCATCATTCTCCTGTCAGCCGGAATGCTGCTGTCAGAAAAGCAGTCTCCAAATAGCTATTGTGAATGTGTATGTTGCTTATCTGATGGTACATTTTTTTCCTAAATTTGTTTTCATTGATTTTTTTAAGAGAGATAGGAAGGGAGCAGGGAGGGAGGGAGCGAGGGGAGAGAGAGAGAGAGAGAGAGAGAGAGAGAGAGAGAGAGAGAGAGAGAGAGAAAGAAAGAAAGAAAGATAGAGAGAAAGATAGAGAGAAACATCAATCAGCTGCCTCCTGCAACACAGCCTACTGGGAATCCAACCCATAACCTGGGCATGTGCCCTGACCAGGAATTTAACCATTGACCTATTGGTGCACAGATCAGTGCTCACCAATTGAGACACACCTGCCAGTAGTACATTTTCTTTATAAAGTGAATGTTTAGTGTTGTGTGTTTTTTTAAACACAGTATTATCTTAATTGATAGTTGATATCTGTCAACATTATTAATTTTGATTATGGAGATCCCACTTGGTGTTTACATCTAGGTAATAATGTACCTAGACAGTATGGATTTTTTTTTAAGTGCCAGAGAAGTCATAGGGACCTTTACATGAAAAAAAAATTCTTAGGAATATATTCCTGTTCTGGTGATAAGAACAAACAAATGTTCTTTCAAAGGTATGTGTAGTGGAGGCTAAAGTATAATGTATTATTGAAAAATACTTTCTGAGTAAGCATAAGCTTTTCTGGGTATAATTTATTGAATTATTTCAATATGACAGAATATGTACTAATTAAGAAGATGTTGACAAGGGAAATCGTGATTCAAGATATAAAGCAACTAATAGTATAGCA